TCATTTAAGGTTTTTGATTGATTTGTTCTTTACGGCTTATCAACCTGCTTGAAGTTATTTAATGCCGAAAAATATTTTTTTGGTGGGGGGATTGCAAGAATGTATTGAAGATAATAATGATTTTCGGATACAAGTCTTACTATTTAACCCCTACCTGGGAGGAGAGAAGGCGGATTCATACTTTTTTCTAAGAATATTTGCACGTAAGGGAATATAACAAACCGGAGTAAATTTTAAACTCGGCACTCTGATTTCTCATTCTAAGCCTTTATCCATTACCCCACCCGCACACCCAGGCTTATAGCAGACCTGTCACCCATCAAAGTACTGACCAGGTTTAACATTGCTTAAACTTCGATAATCGAATGAGAACCGGCGGTTCAACGTGATATGGCCATAAGTCTTACATTGTTTACTGTCGTGTATATATATATATATATATATGTGTGTGTGTGTGTGTGTGTGTGTGTGTGTGTGTGTGTGTGTAAATTGGGGTGTCATTGTCTTTTTTGTACGTTTCGTATGTATTGGTGCGTATGTGTGTCTGCGTACCTCAACGGGTGTACGGACATGAATCTATGTTTGCGTTAGCAAGAGTGACATCAAGACGACGATTCCCCACTCCACTTCCATAATAACACCAATACACACAATCTACATAAATACAAAATTTTTAAAAATTAATCAGTTTGTCTGACGATCGCAAAAGCGTGAAACCCAGGGTCACAAACTCACATCAATCCAACCATATATATATATATATATATATATATATATAATAGATAGGAAAAGATAATAAGAAGGCATTTTTAAAAAGCAAAAGCCAAAATAAAACTACCGGTTTCGTCCCAGGACTTATCAAGTTATTTATTCTGAGAATTTAAAAGCGTGTAAATTAATTTTAATTAACGAATGTAATTAAATGGGGAGAGAAAAAAAATAAATAAATAGAAGAAAATGTGTGGAAAATTTTAGTGGTGACCGATTTATTATTTTATCTAGGTCCCACTCCACATTTCACCTCAAGGTCCTGGAGTCCTTGTATATCAGATCTCGTGAGCCTTCCCTTTGTAAACAGAGGGAATGCTTGCTGGGTCTGAATATTATTGGACTCTAGTCTCTTGAAATTCATAATTTTTTTTCTCTCTCCCCATTTAATTACATTCGTTAATTAAAATTAATTTACACGCTTTTAAATTCCCTGAATAAATAACTTGATAAGTCCTGGGACGAAACCGGTAGTTTTATTTTGGCTTTTGCTTTTTAAAAATGCCTTCTTATTATCTTTTCCTATCTATTATTAAATCCTGTACCACGAAAAACTTATATATATATATATATATATATATATATATATATATATATATATATATACGTGTGTGTGTGTAGTATAGATGTTATATGCTAACTAATCAATAATGGTATTTCCAAACTAGTGTAGACATATAGTAACGTACAATACGACCTGTTTGTACGGCTTAGAATCCGATCAAAGCCAAAATAGCGGCGTACATGAGGAATCATCGTCAGCGTTTTTATAGTCCTTTATCTCTCGTAAATGGCAATTTCATATTTTCCAAAGGTAGCCAGCATACCCAGACAACAATTCTATAACAATAAACAGTGAAATTGTCTATTAATGTTGTCTTGCTTGCTCGTTTTTTAAACTTGTGTTTTAAATGATACTATTAATGGGTCAACTGATGTTATATTCTCATTGCCAGATGTTGTGCTTAGACTTTTATTAATATTAATTCAATATTGTATTATGGCAGTATAGGCTTTACGTTTAACGGATAGATATTTTCTCCACAAGAAAATTTCAGATGACTGCTGTCAGAAAAATATGGACGCTGTAACAAATATTTCCATTCTAATATAAAAATATTGATTCATATAAGTTTCTGCTTTCGTTCTCCATTTTCGCAAGTCACTGGCTTTCGAATCGAAAACTCGATTACACTTCTCTTGATAAACTGTATTCGTATTGGCTCATCAAGACAATTACTCAGGCACATTTATTTTATGTAATCTGTTCTCTCGATGCTGATAAGAAAATTCCGATTTCCATAAGAGACATTTCTGAAAATTTGCAGTTCTCAAAAGTTTATGAGAACAATTCATAAAAATCTCTGAAATAATCAAATAAATGCTCGAAAACTTGTCACACACTTTGACAAAAATTAACATTTCGAATCAAAGAATAACAAAGAAACATTAAATAATTTCTATAGAATCATTGTAAAACCAGGTATTTGTCTGTATTGGGCTTAGAAAACAGCCATTGTTACTTCTGAATTGATCTCTATCTATCTTTAAGGAAAGGGCGTATATAGTATTCCTAACTTGCATTTAGAATATATTCTACTGAAGCATAAAACAGTTGTTATAAAGGCAAGTCATAAAACATCCCTATGATTAAAGTGGATAACAGCTATATATATATATATATATATATATATATATATATATATATAAAACAAACAAGAAAAACCGTAAACGTTTTTGGTTATAATGTACATTTGATTTAGTGTATATATTATACTAGCAGCATGGCCCGGCGTTGCTCGTGCTTGATTCAAAAATCGTACGCAATCGCTATCACTTGACTTAAAATATTTTTGCCCTTCCCTGCCTTTAAAGGAGTGCCCTTTGCCGTGCTGATGTTGCTACATGCCTTATTTCTTGCCTATCTCACACTGCGAATTTTTTCTAAGCTTTATACTAAACATTAAATCTGTTACGAAAAAAGAACTAAACACAAAACGATCAGATTTAAAACAGGACTCGTAACTGGAAAAACCGAATGAAAAAAAGAATGTTAACAACAAATACTTTTTCACACCCAACCCAGTTCTGCGGAATCAGAATCAACGTTGAGTTTAAGCAAGCGAATGAGCCAATTGGAGTAAAGTGTCATGCAGATTTAATTTTTTCCCACTTGTGACGAATGCAGCTATTGATTTTTTTGCATGTTAGCATGCTAGTTAACATTCGTGTCAGTCAGCTGTTGGCTCTCCCGCTGGCCAATAGAATCTTCCTGCCTATTCGTGGCAGCCAGCTCTCACTCTGGCCAGTACAAAATGGCCACAAACTACGTGAAAACTGCCGTAGAAGCATGAAAAAATCGATTATTTCCACAATCGATGGGAGTTGGGAAATGCAAGGTGGGTCTTGACCTTCCCGTTAACTTGGAGCATGTACATGTAAATTTTGGTGCAAATCCGTCGAAAATTGCGGCCGTGCATTCGTTACACACACACACACACACACACACACACACACACACACACACACACACACACACACACACACACACACATCCTGCCTTTTATAAATAGAGATTCGACTGAAGCATAAACAGTTGTTAAAAAGGCAAGTCATAAAACATCCTATGATTAAAGTGGATAACAGCTATATATATATATATATATATATATATATATATATATATATATATATATATATATATATATATTTATTTGTGTGTGTGTGTGTAAAATGTTTATAATTGTTCCAACGAGAGACAAATGTATATTTTTTTTAAAAAAAGAGAAAAATCGTAAACGTTTTTGGTTATAACGTAGATTTGTTTATTGTATATATTATATTTTGTTCTTCATATGAAGCGCGTAGAAGAAAAAAAGAAAGGTTTATTTTAAAAGAAAACACACTACTGAAAGACAGGGAATCGAGTGTCAGGCTAGTAATTACTGAAGCAAGCCCCCAGGTATATCCTGTGCTCACTATATATAGCTACTGATATAGTCAGTTGACATAGGCGATAGGGAGTGTGGGACATTCGATTACAACAGTTTTGTATATTTACAAACACAAATTCATATATTGATACACGTATAGAGCCATATATACAGAGTGTCTGAAAAATGTATACACACTTTGAAGCTTTCTCAAGAAATTCAAGTAACTAAAACCAACTATATCTAATTTATATAATACATATGAAGACAGTATCTTACTTATTATAAAACGCAGATTGTGTGTGTGTGTGTGTGTGTGTCTGTGTGTGTGTGTCTGTGTGTCTGTGCGTTTATATATTGCATCGGATTTCCTACATTTTTCAACCGATTTCAACAAAACTTCACAGGACTACGTAAAATTACCTTGCAGTGGTTCTAACAGCGCCAAATATTGGAAAAACACAATTGCTTTTGCATGAAATCAATTTGAAAACACAATTAAGAGGCATCACGAGAATGAAAGGGGGACAACTCATATCGAGTCACACTTATTATAAAACCCAGGTTGTTTTTGTGTGTTTCTGTGTTCGTTTATATATGGGATCGGATTTCCTACATTTTTCAACCGATTTCAACAAAACTTCACTTTTTTTCTTTTTTTTTTTTTGGCAGGTAGTGTTTCTTATTGTCTAGCCCATTTTTTCTTTATTTTTACATACAGAATGCTTTAAAAATTCCATTTACAAGACAATTGTTTATAATAAAATTCTATTCAATCGGTAGACTCATAACGATTGAAAACAATGTTTTTGTTTGAGTTTGGGTTTGACCAATTCGTAAAAAAAAAAAAAAAACTAATTAAGACATGCGTGTCCGTCAACCTTAAACAATAATCTTTGTCAATTTTATTTTTCAGTCTTTATGATGGTCAATACTTGATCTATCTCTTACTGTTACATCCCCGGGCAACGCCGGGCTCTACTGCTAGCTTATTATAAATGCGTGCTCTTAAGATTTTGCCATCGGATATTTTCAAATTGATGTCCGTTATGATTCAGACACATTGCTGATAACGCGACACCATGGAATCGCAAGCAACAATCAATATTTCGACAGGCTACATTCTTGTTATATGGAAACTTTCATTTCTGCAATTGTTGCTGGCTTTGTAGAGTTGACTTTAATTTTTAATTGATTAATTCATTTTCTACGTCTTAACGAACCCAACGGGAATTGGAACTCGGCTCTCTGATTAACAACTGCGAGTCGTTATCCATTATACCAGCCGCACACTCAAGCTTACAGTGTCTGGTGTTCCCAAGCAGTCACCCACCTTGGCAATGAGCAGGCCCGACGTTGCTTAACTTTGGTGATCGTACAGGAACTGGAGTTTCAACGTTGTGAGATAATACTAATAACAGATTTAGAAGTCCTACCGGGATTTATTATTGGCAGACAAAATCTTAACAGACAATATAGTGTTGATAGTAGACACACAGAAAGGAAAATAGAAAAACTCCTATAGAAAGTAGCGCAAGAAGACAGAATGCATAGTTATTAGCAAAAGGAACAGCCCAACCTGTAAATTAGAAAATTGAAGCCAAAATCAAACAAGTACAATAATTTAAATAGGTGTTGTAACAGAAGATGGAAAGTGTGGCACTGAAATCCAAAGGCGCATTGTAAATAGCGAAAGATAAGTTGACTGGGAAACAAGAAGCCGGACGAGACATCCACAAGCGAGAAGTGCGAGAAAGTCAACTGTTTGCATAGAACCAACGGTTACATCTGGCCATTTCAATTCATAAAGTCTATGTACCACAGAGGACAAATTCAGTAAAACAATTTCATTGAAAGTAGTTATCGAAAATACACGGGGAAGCTATGTTACGGCAGCTGGAAAGTAACTGAAGATGAGATGCCATGTCAGGACTAATAACATTGCAGATTCTTCCTTGGATTTTATCATGAATCTCTAAATATATAGAAGGAGAACCCTACCAGACGTGGCAGTAATATTCAAAGTGAGGGCGAATGTTAGACTTATAAGTATGTAAGATAGATTCTGTTGAGTAAAAAAATGTCTAGCGCAACACAGTGAACCAACTTCCCTAGCAGCAGACCTAGCAACTGATTCAATATAATCATTCCAATTCCTGTCAGCAGAAAACGTTAGTACAAGAAGGCGCCAACCAGTCATTCTCCTGGAGGTTAGCATCAGCCATGCCAATGGAAGACAAAATATGTTCTCTCGGAGAGAGAGTTAATGTTAACGCCTCCGTTTTGGAGGCGTTAACATTAAAAATCCATTTCTTGCCCCAGTTAACAACAGATTGTAGGTTACTTCTTTTTTCTTTTTTTTTTAGATCAGATGCTAATTTGACTTTTCAAACCATCGAATGCGATTTCTATGCGATCTTACCGGTTATTAACATGCATTGTCGAATGTTGGCCAAAGAGGATAGAAAGGTATGTTACTGTGAAAAATTTGTTTCTCTGATATTTTCTACGAGATCAATCGATGTTTATTTTTCTTATTATGTTTTAAGTAACTGTTGTAGAGTAGTTTTCACAGTGGAGGCTTGTATTTCAATAAGTCGTCCTAAATTAGGTTCGACGTTAGGAACTTGGAAATAAGAGTTAATGACGCAGCAATCTAGTTGTGATGGTTGGTACTTCAATGTCCGATATCCACTGACTCGCTCAACACCACTGAGCCCAACTGGTGACCGCTACTACTACTACTACTACTTATTATGTGTGGAAGAGTCTATTAATAATAGAATAGGTACGTCAGGTATAACAGTAACTCTAACTGAAACTCTTGAATACTATAAACTTAAATCGGCTGTCGCTGACTAAGCTTACAGCTAATAAGAGAGTTGGTATGCTGAATTAATTATAACACAAAACACAATTCAGTCAAACAATACTCTATAGATTATTCGAATATTTTCTTTCTTTTCTGTTTGATTTACAAGCTGTTTGTCTCTTTGTCTCTTGTACTTCGTCTCTCTTGACTCTTGAAGTTTTCTTGCCTGATATGTAGAAGATGGTAACATAATAATCTACCTTGCAAGTTTCATATCCCCAATTATCTGGCTTTTAGCCGAAGTTATTTGTATCAGTGAAAAAAAAAAAGAATTAAATTAATTCTTAAATTAATCAGTGCCCTATCTCTGGAAAGAAACAAAGGTCATTTGTTTATCAGCGGCCATGGAAACAAATCCCAGTTTATAAAATTACAGCTATACATAAGTTTCAAAAGAACCCTTCGCCGTTACTTGATGGCTTTTTACGCTTGGATTAACTTGTTCGTTCAATTAGTTACTCGAATTCTGTGAAGGTGACATCCAGCTAGTTTTCAATTATCTGCTGGGAAATGAACTGAGGGATTTAGGTTAATAAGAAGCAATTGTTTTTTCGTTTGCTTTCAGCTAGTCATTGAGCGTGTGTGTGCACAGAAGTTCCCAGCTCCCGCTTTTAATTTTTCTTATATTTATTTTCGAAAAATAAATTCAAAACATAACAAGGAAGAAAAAAAAAAGAAAGAAAAAATGCAGAAAACATTAGCACGCAGCTAAACTGTAGTGTTCCATAACCAGAGACACCATTACACTGGATGGTTTCGGAATTTTAACTTATATAATTAGGGCGACGTATATGAGATTCACTAGGTAAAGAGGCAGTGTAGCTGTGGCAGCTATGGACACGGACAGAATTTAACATCGATTGACCGAGAAAAGATTGTTGGGGCCAGAAAGATGTGGGATTTTATCTCCGACGTGGCAAATGCTCTAGGTTTTTCTCAGACTACAGCAGCAAATATTAGCAGGAATATGCGAATTTAAGATAAACATCAGTGTTACGTTTGACTTGCGGACAATCAGTTTCTTATCGCCCGTCAACATACTTGTATTCACAATCATTAAGTGAGGTGAAGATAAGCAATGTTACTGTGAAAAATCTGTTTCTCTGATAATTCAATCGGTCTTTATTTTATTTTAATCCGACCGTGCCAATTATCGCAGATTGTTGTGTTTGAAAAAGCTATAGGTAGTTATGTGCCATGCGTGATACTCGCTTATGCGATCATGTATCTTTTGATACATGACTGACGAGGCAGATTTTTTCCCGCATTTTTCGGGGTATAAGATGTCTTTTTGTTTGTTTACGGTTTTTTACGGGGGTTGAATTAGACTTGAAGACGAGGACATCTTCTTTGACCAAAATGTCTTTGATAAGCCGAATCAGATCAGCCTCCGATTTCAAACCCGGGTTTCAGCATCGATATCAAGTTACTCTGTGAAAATGTGCTTAATGTGTTAAATGTCACTTTCTGAGAAAGACGATAATTATTGTCACGTCAAAATAATTCAGTTCGAAGTGACCACCGCTCAAAGTGAATTAAGCAAACAAATGTTATGTTTATGTCTTGTGTCTGTATCTGTGTTTGTGTGGTGTGTGTGTGTGTGTGTGTGTGTGTGTGTGTGTGTGTGTGACGCCACAAGATATAGACACGTGACATTTATCTGAACAATGAAAACAAACAGCACTGAATTCGAAATACCGAGGCATTCTCTCCCATAATTCCTTTTTCTGATGAAGCTAAAGTAAAAGCGAAACATGTAAAATGTATAAACGTTTTCCTATTTGTTCCTTATTTAATTATTCTGTCGGATTTAATCCATTTTTTTTTTTTTTTGCAATCCGTGGAATTCAACCAGTGAAATTATATGTTGCATTTATCAAATTTATTTCTCACTTTTTTCCCTCTCTCCTATGAAACACGTCTTAATGAAACACACTTTATATCGACCTGAATATGGTTCTATAGAGGAAAGCTTAAATCGTTGTTAAATGCGGCCCAAAGCAAGGGGATAAAAATCATGTATAATAATACCAACATAGATAAAGCATAGGTGAAGAGCAAATGTTGACAGTGGAGCAATAAAGGTTAGATAATCAAGCAAAACATCAGCGAATGTAACAAACAAACCGAGAAGGAATCATAGAATAGGCAACACTAGGTAGGAAAGGTGATCTCCGTGAAATTCTTCAAGCGACTCTACTGGCTAATGGTATACGCAGAACCTGTTCTAGATAATGTAACATAAAACTTGGAACTATGGTAAAAAAAAGTTCCTAACATAAATCGACATGGTCATGGCTACTTAGAAGAAGCCACCAGACTGAAAATCAGAATCTCTTTCGTACCGACCCAAAACACCTCCTGGGTATGACGATAAACTACATCCGCGTTCTGGGTAAGATGATAAACTACGTCCGACAGCAAGGCCTCTAATCAGGAGGTTTTGAGGTATGTGGAACCACCTCTTAATTGCTGGTGTTACCAGATCCACTCTGACCCGGGGTGGTAGCACCTGTTAGTGTCCTTCCTATGGGCAAATAGTTAACCTTCAAATTGGGGTCAAAACACTTTTTAAAATATGTAAAAATAGGTTTTAATACCAGAAATACTTTGTAAAAAATATTACCAGCAATGAATTTTTGAAGAAAAAAAGACAAAAAAAAAAAAAAAAATTGCAAAAAGTTGCAATTTTTTAACATCAATATACTTAAAAAAATATTACTAGCAATACATTTTTGAAAAAAAAATATTACCAGCTATATATTTTGTGAAAAAAAATATTACCAGCTATGCATTTTTTGAAAAAAAAATTACCAAAAATTTTATTTAGTGTAGCAGAATAAAGAGAAAATAAAGTATTGTTGAAACAATAGAAAAGGAAGATAATAATAATAATAATAATAATAATAATAACATCAACTACAAAAAAAAAAAAAAAAAAATAAACAACAAACCTTAAAGTAGTAATAGAAGAAGTGAAAATTTTACTTTTTTTTTTTTTTGATGAACGATAATCTATCGATATATATGAAGTAGCCGCTGTCTGTCTATTTGTTATCGAACTTCTACTAGGATTTTGGAGATAGACCCCCATTACCATATATATTCTGAAATTACATTAGCCAGGGTAATTTAAATGTATAAGTATATTTCATTTTTTTTTTTTTTTTTTTTTTTTTTTTCCAGCAAAAGGGTCCTCGGTGGCAAAAACCCCTTTCTGAATTTTTTCCCCTTTGCTATAAATTAAAATTAAATTTGAACAAAGAATGGCTCCAAAATATAGGAGAAAGTCAGAAGATGGAGGTCACATAGACAAGATCAAAATGAGACAATATGGACGTAAAGTTGATCAAGAAATCACCAATCAGTGGGTAGTGCCTTACAGTACATAATTGTTGCGACAATTCAGCTGTCATATCAATGTTGAAATCTGCTCATCAATTTATTCAATATTGCATCAAATACATACCAAAGGTGTCAGATCAAGCTGATTTTTTACACCCACCGCCACTGAAAATTGTTTTTCCT